AAATAGGCCTGAAGCATCCGCATGAGTTGGGGTAAGAGAGCGATTGTGGCTGGGATAGGACCGGTGGTGGGGCGGCAGCGACAGCCTGATTGCTGCGGGCAACGGTGATGCTTGCCGCAGTCGTTGTCGGGATTGTGGAGACTGGCTTTTCAGAGGCTGCCTCTAGACTCGTGATAATTGGTTCGTTTGGTCTGACGCTAACGCGTAGTCTGTCGGGTCGTCTGGGGAGTGGGGAGTGGGGAGTGGAGAGTGGAAGCAACTTGCGGCCAGCCTCGTTACACATGTCGGTGTGCCCGCAGGAGCAAATGACAAGCAGTCGAAGGTATGAAAGTATGAAGTTGCCTACGCCGGTCAGTCCGGCCGACGCAACGGACAGAGGCCCATACATACATACATACACACATAAATACATACAAGCAGACATACAGATACAGAGGCAGAGTAACTATGCGTATTTTTATTTGCATATTTATACGCGCATCCGCTTCACATGGCGGTACGCATTTGCATGCATGTCCGAGTGTGTGATTGTGGACTGAGAGTGATGCCCTAATGCCGACGAGACAAGAAAGATACCGGCCGACTATTGGAAGTGGGCGTGTGTTTGTGTGTGATGGTGTGGGAGTGTAGGAAAAAACGTACAACTCGGACATAGAAGGACAACACAGCAACCGGTCCGTCTGCTCGAGCCTGGTTCGGCCGGGGGAAATGTGTACGCATCCGTTGTACGCCGGTAACCGAGTGGCAGACAGGGCGGAGGCACGAGAAGGAAGAGAAAATGAGATGGTGTGATTGAATGAGTGAGTGAGTGAGCGAGTGAGTGAGTGAGTAAGTGGGTGAGTGAGTGAGTGGGCACTGTCGAGAGACAGTGTGACTGGAAGACTGGGGCAGGCCAATCCACAGGATTGTGGTTGTCGAGTCTGGGGGCATAAGTTGACGGTGCAATAGCGTGTTCTCGAGCAGGGACAGAATGTTCACCTGCCAACGGGGGAAGCTGGCGTTCTGGTGAATTTACAGCCAACCAGTCGGCCGGGATACCGCCTCTTCTTGCAGTCCCACCAGCGGAGAGCAACGTCACATGAGGTGAGTCTACATACCCTTCAACACAGTTGATTACTTAACTTTGTTTACTCTCTTCTGTTTACTTCCATTTCGAGTGAAAGTGCGGCGTCAAGAGATTCCAAGGTCGGTTCCACCACCAGAAGACGACTGCGCATTCCTCTTGACCAGATGTCGATTGGCTTTACTGGAACATTCCGAGGCAATCTCCTTCGATTCCGGTGAAAAGGTGCTACGCTTTCGTACGTTGCATGACGAACATCATCACAACCAAACATAAGCTAAGTAATGAAGAATATATCAGAGGCTAGATATAAAGTATATATG